AAGAAGTGAAAAATGGTAAACCTACAAAGTTCCTGAAATTTACACGACATGTTTGAAAGCCTGATGTCCCATGGCAGTAAACTGTTGTATGATTCTTACCTCAAAGTATGAATCTTAAACTTCATAATTGAGGTCTCATATGGTTGGCCAAGCTTGCGATATTTGTTATGCCGAGCGTGTGTTATGCCAAAACAAGATACGCAAAGAAGGTACACACTTCTATTCTGTAGATAAAACCTCTTGATTGGTTAGTTGTTAAGGAAACATTCATTCCCTTTGTGTTTGGTAAAGCTGTCAGTTGTTGGTTGAACCTAATTTCATTTTGGTAGTGAGATGTAGATTTAGGGTGTATTGAATACATGTATATATATATATTTTTTTTTGCATTACAGGATTGAAACAGGGAAAGGAAAATTTGATTATGCAGATTGTTTAGATATGTATGTGCAATATATATATGAGATATTTTAGATTTTTATACTATGGACAAGATTTGTTGGTGTACTTGAATAGATTCTCAAGGTACTAATGAATAAAATCATATTTTTTTAGAGGTAATCTTGTGACAATAATACATAATATTGTGGAATATACACTTACTTTGAAAGCTGTGGAGTCAAAAGTAATAGCACATGCGATTTAATCTTTGATCAGTCAGTTGTGAACATGCCATAGGGAAAGGTTGAAAATTAATCCATAAAGGGCGGATGGTGTTCCACAATAGCTGTCCAGAGAATGGCTGGATGACGTTTCAGAAAGCCTTCCTATTCTGCGAGCCTTTTGCACGACGCAAGTGATTGACGTAGCACCAGTGCATCCCCCTCAGAACTATCAGCTGCTATGAGTGATCCTGATGATGCACTGCAGTTGCTCTTGCATCATTCGGCACTGGTCACCCCAGGCAGAAAATTAATTCAGCTGATTAATTTGTGCTTGTGTTACGTGATTTTATAATGCACTTGTTTTACTGAGATTGCGTGTGACCTATATGAATGTGAAATCAGAGAGTTGCCTCTACTCTGTGAGCTAAGTCAGGTCATGGAAATTAAAGGTTTAAGGGTGAGATATTAGAAGATACAAGTAACATCTCTTTACCAGGTATTTGTATTATACTGATTTGCAAGTTGAAGAGGTTTCTGGAAGGTTAAATTTGATTTTTCAGAGGTGTAGTAAAAGCTCACTCACTCTCACTCTCACTCTCACTCTCACTCTCACTCTCACTCACTCCTTCTCACTTTCTCACTCATAAACCATTTATATACAATTATCTCAAATATATAACATTGCTGAATTGAAAAAGAAGAAAGCCATTCCATTCTAGTCCTTAACCATTGGTATGTTCATGCTACAACAGCTGTGAATTTATTTTGCCCGTAGTTCTATATTGCATGAGATATTCCATAACTGCATATCTAATTTTACTTTTTCTGAGAAAAAATAGATACCTACAACTAGAGATTAACCCCTCCCCCCCATGGCATCTTAACCCTGTGATAGTGAGAGACTGTATTGTGTTGGTCATCGTCCCGTTTTAGTGTTAATTGGTACTAACAATCAATGGCATTTGTTAGAAATAAGTAAACGAGCTTACCGTTAGTCATTGATATGTTGTGTTTACTGTTTGCAGGGGAATTATTTTTTATCTTTAGAGGCTGGTCTATGGATACATGTAATGTTATTAGACGTAGGCCTATGTGGGCCGCTGCATCTTCTCGTATGTTGTTGCATAACATGCCAAAAGGCCCGTCCTCAGATAGGATTTTGACGCGTTTTCCTTCGGGTGTTCAGCCTCTAGTCGCTAAGCCTCCTTATCAAACCTAGTGCCAAAGATTAGACCAGTTTCAATTGCTAGTAGACTGTTATTGGTTGATGTTATTTATGTCTCTGTTGAATTTGATTTATTTTTGAAAGAAATTCCTCGATGTTTGAAATGAATTCTTGGTTGCACAATGCCTATTCATTTCTGATTTTTTTTTTTTTTTTTATGGATAATTTTTTTGGATGAACTGTGAGATTTTGACACTGCTGGTATTTATTAAACAAAGAGAAAGAAAAAGAAATCAAATATTCAAAATTCCATATTCCAAATACAAGAGTGATGTCTGGATATTTTCATCATTAGGAAACAGTGCTTACTTGGCTTCATTTTCACGCTGTAGATAACATATCATGAATGTTCTAGGTTGTTAACCCATGACCAAAAATAATTTAAGCAAATGACCAAAAAAATTTTCTTACCTTCTTTATTTTTTAGATTTTCCAACGATGTGTTCAGGGGATTCCTTGTATCGTCCCAACTTGTACTCATTCCGCCGAATTCCCGCGTTCTTTAAGTGTGTTGCCTTAGGTGAAGTATTACATGCGGTGGTCAGTGATTAAGAAGAGGGTCTGCGGATCACGTGCACTTCTCAATTTAACTACTGACGTTATGTACTTACAAAAGTAAGGATCATACCTGTAACAGGACTTGTAAACCCTGCTGAATAAATGTAGATGAAAA